AGAAGGTACTCAAGCCAAATAAAGTATACAAGTCTTCCGTTTTGTGTTTCCCTTTGACTGATGAGGATTTGGAACACACTTTTTGGCGTGTGGTGAAGAAGTTGTTTGGGTTCAAGGCTGTCATGATCTGAAGAAAACATGCTGGCGATTGAAGAAATCAACATCGAATTTAATTATTTGGTCAAGAAAACTCAGCTTGGTTGGTTCCAATAATTATTATTTGTATTTGCGTCTTTGAAAGATTGTACTTCACTTAATAAACATTAGTTATATACAGCGTGTTCTGTCTGAGGTTCTGTCCTGTTGTAGAAAAAATATGATATAGTGAAAATGAGCACTATTTTTTCACAATTGCCGTCAAAAGAATGATTCTATTTTGACTTTCAAAATCATGGAAACAACTTTATGATAACGATAACGATAAGATTTTCACAAAATTCAAGTGATATACTGGGACAATGAACATGCGTTCGTGCTTACACCACAGAACTCAAAGTTCTGTGGCTTACACGAAAAAAAAAAAGGAATTGTTGAATCAAGCAAAATTTACTTGAATGAAGCAAATTAAAGTGTCTTATATGCACGACAAAATATAATCTTGAATTGAGTAAATCTTCATCTTGTTTCAGAGTGAATTTGAAGTTTGAATTAAGTAAATAAGTCTTGCATGAACTCTGGATCTTATCCAATCAAGCACATCCATGAATTGTTTATGAAGTGATATTGAATTGGGTCAAACAATCATTATGTTTAATTCAAAATAACGAGATATTGATCAAATCCAATATTTAGTTGATTCAATGAAATATTTGGTTGATTGGAAGAAATATTCGGTTGATTCAATAATTTATTTGGTTGATTCAATGAAATATTTCGTTGATTCAAAACAAACTGTATTTCCATTCGACAAATTGTATTAAGTATTAATTCGAGAATTTTCTGAAATTTCAGATCAATAGAATAAACTAAACTAGGATAGGAAACTAGTCGACTTCTAGCATTAATCTCTCTTTAGCTAATGAAAAAACTATTTCGGATTGCCTATCATCCTAAGTTCGATTTATCCAGCTGATATTTCACACACGTAGAATTAGGCTTCACGTATATAATTAATTCGAGGCAGGCATAGACGAGACGAAGTGACCGCCATCTAGTGGCGAAAATTGAAATATTTCATTGCCCTATTCAAGCAAATGATCCGTTCGAAACGTTTTAAACTTGTATGCAGTTTCAAAGATATATTCTCATCAAAATGATCAATATTTCATCAAATCAACAAAATCTTTATAGTTAAATCAACATCGACGTTATTTTGGATCGACATAATTTGTTCTTGAGAAAACCATATATTTTGTTAATGGAATTGATATTATACTGTTGATTCAATTAGACTACATTCTTGATTTGAATAAGCTGCTTCCATGAAATAAATGTATCTGGTTGAATCAAACAAAAATTGCTCAGTCCAAGAAAAATAATTTAAGCATTAATAATTTGTTGATTTGTAAAATACTCGATACTAAAATGACGTTTATAGCACTAGTTACATAATATACTATTTTGCACGGCATAAAAGGACGTGTTTTTGTGAAGCAGCTCCCGTAATGGATCTTACATGATTTTTCCATCAAAGAGTAACTGATGGTGGTTAACTGGTAACTGGTGGTATCAGACATCGTTTTATGAGGTATGCTGAGACATTACAGGCTTGAGTTTCTTAGGCTGTAATTTGAGCAAGATCCCCATTGACACCGTTGACCTGCCTTGGTCGTGAGTTCTCATTCCTCTGGTGATATGGAAATTCTGGAAGAGAACGCCGTATGGAAAATACTGTAATCTGGATAGCTGTGGATAGGGCATCAGGTGGTTTCTCCCAATGTTGATGCTTCTTTTATCTCTTGGAACGCACGAAAGAAAATTCTTATAATGTTCAGAGAACATTGTGCGTACCTATATAGTTAGTTAATCTCTTAGTTTAGCTCCTTGACACTAAAAGTGCACTAGCAACATAAATATCAATCATTACATCGTGATACTAACAGAAATCTCAACTTCAAGAGCTTATTTTAAATAAAAAATTGATGACTTTTTATTCGGTTGTAGAAAAACTTGTTTTTATGCAATTAGTATACGTAGGAAGTGACACCACCGTAATCTTGTATATGTGGTTGCATACCTTGGCGGCGTAACATTGATAATTTCATATCAACCAGGATGGAAATAATTATGACCTTGACAACGTTCACCGAGTCATTTTCATCATAATTATTATCGTCGCTGGAACGTGTTAGTTATTGATTTATCTAATGATATATCGCCAGTGGCGTACGTATTATAAGAATAAAGGGTGGGAATTTTTACTACCCTCAGAATTTGAGTAGCTCGACATTTATTTCCATGGATGTAATGACATCTGAGTTGGTTCAATAATTCCTAAATCTTCAAGATCTTCATCTTCCGTGTTTATTGCCAACATAGTATTTTTTGTCTCCGATTGTGGAAAATGATTGATGGGTTGTTTTTCTATTGATGAAATCATACTCATCATTTCTCGCATAATTTGCTTTGTAGCAAATATGGAAGTTTCCTTCGTTTAATTATTGTCAGCTGCCCTGGTGCAACTGATGAGACTAGGCAACCCGAAACAGTCTGTATCACACCAGCTCACAATGGATGCATGAAATTCCCCTTTATTATCTTAGTTTTGAGATTTTAGGTTTCTCATGCTCATTATTTTTCAGTTTCGAATGTAAAGTAGAATGTTGTATTCATGCTGCTTGACAAAAAAACGCCTCAATCCATAGTTCAGCTGTTAATTATCCGATTTCGAAAAACAAAACAGCAAATGAAATGAATCATAGTATCCCGTGACTAATTTAATTATTAGCTTTTTTGTTTTTCACAATCAGATAGCGGCGCTATAAAGCTTGGGCCGTTTTTTGTTAGCCATACTGTATGAAACAAAATATTTGTTCGAACAACAAACATGTCGAGTTCAAGTTTTTCATGAAATCTCAACCAGCAGAATATAAAGAATTATTGTTTGCCTTTGAAGGTATAATCTAAAATCTACATCCTTCAATGATTACTCATATTGATACCTGCTTACATTGGTGACGTAATATACTTTGTAATATTAACAATAAGCCTTCAATTGATATGAGCGATATTCCAGTATAATATTTCCTAGCATGATTCCAGTTTAAATCAGACACAGCTTCAAAATTTGTTGTTTATATGATATTTTTCTAACGATAACTCGTTTATCAAAATCATCATTAATAAAATATTACATTGGCCAACATGAATACTTGCTGATATCTTTATGGTTGGATGTGTCATTTTTTTCATAACTATCTGCAGGAAATCGAATCATATGTTCACATGGATTTTCCAGTATTATTATTCTACTGACATGAGATACGTAAAACAAAAAACAAAAAGTGATATTGAAGGTCAACTGAAACATGAAAATAATCAAATCAAAATCATTTTTGCTCCATTTACTTCAGCTTTTTCTATTTAGGATTATACATTGAAAAATTGATCAAAATTGATTCAGACTAGTGTCAGAATTTTCGAGTAGGCAATAGAAACCAGAAGTACATACTACAACTATATGAGATTTTTTGTATTTGAACTTGGACCTCAATCGAACAAACGTCCAAGAAATCATGTATTCCTGAATGTTTAACAATCATTTTTTTCATCTTTTGGAGCGCACGAAAGGAAATTCCTATAATGTTGATGGAACATCGTTCGTACCTAGGGAGGATAGGGAGAGGCCATTTAAGCCAGGTCAACACTATTTTTTTATATTAAGCTAAGCATATTACTACTTTAGAACCATATTTTGGACAAATACAGTCTGTAGGTTAATCGAGTTAGTGAATTGGGCGTCCTGATTCCGAATCCGAAGTGATTTTCAACCTATTTTGACTCCTAATATCATTTTCCGGAAATTGAGGTAATTCCATGGCTGTTGGCGAGCAGTGTACTGAATATGACCCCACTTGGTCATACAGTGCATTTTTGTTATATCTCTTGCTCCAACAAATTTTAGGATCCCTACCCAACGAATACGTAAGATACACGGGTGTTTCCGTTAGAAGTGGGCCACACTGTATATAAATATTTATATATGTTCACATGAACTTTTCATCTTAACAATGTGTTCTTCAAGTTGTTGAAGACCCTGTATATGTACATATACATAAATTAGAAATGAAACTGATAAGCTTCTTTGGACAAACAAATCACAAATCAAAACAGTCATAAACGTTTATATCAATCACCTACCTATCTTGGAAGTTAATATCCTTGGGGTGATTACCCCATTACCCCCCTCCCCCCATATCGACGCCCTTGCAAACTATCGTTTTGTGTTCATGAATATTTCGAAGCAAGCCTCGATTTCGTCTCTGACAGCTGATGACTAACTTCTTCCTACGAGACCAGAATCGTTGACCCACTAAAAAAACGATCAGATTCGCCTCCATATGGATGGTTACCTGCGAAAATGATTGCCTACGTAAAACGATATCAAGTACGGCAAACACACACACACACAAAACAATCGTCTATAACAATCTCGCTCCAACCTTGGCAAGTTCGTATTTATCTTTTTCATTTAATCGAATAACAGCAGTCCGCTAGAGCAAACCGTTTCCATACCCTGAAAACCCATAGTGATAATTTCACGTGCGCGACCACAAAACGTTCGCGAGATAGCGCTCTCCAACTGTCAAAGATGTCATTTCAGTTGCGTAACTGAGCCGAACAGATCGAGACTATGCACCGTTTCACCAGCAACCTCGCTACGATGTTCACACCCGAGTTATCGCCAGGTAAATCAGTGATGAGAGTGTAAAAGCTATGTGGTGTCCTCGTTACATGTTTTTTGTCACGCTTTTGTACCGCTGCTGGGCTATGAGGGTGCGCTACTACCCCCCCACAACGCCATTTAACCCGAGTTTTTCGTCCTCCAGCAGCTGTGAACCATGAACCCTCCTCCCGCTGAACTCCAGCCGCAGGAAATCAACCCCAACTGGACCAGCGCAAAAGAAACCGGTATTCAGCTGCTGAACAACCGCAGAGCCAAGATCACCCAAGCCGGGAAGTATTCCGAACGCTGCGAGTACGCTTTCTCGCACGATCCCAACTCCGGCAAGTACCCCTTAACAGCCCAGTGTCGCGACACCATGGAAATGTACCGCAAAGCCTCCAAAGGGGGCGATATACCCTCCAAAAACCTCACCACTGAGAAGATGAGGCTCGCCAGCAACGCCAAGAGCAACGCCACGAACGATCTCAACAAGCAGGAGAATGCCCTCATAGGCTACAAACCCCTACTCCAAGGCACCACTCGCCTACCCTTATCCTCCTCCCCAGTAAGCGTAGCCAGAACCCCCAAGTGGCCCAAGAAGAACCTCAATATCTACAGCGTCACTCCTGATGGGGACAAAACTCCCCCGAGTAGTCCAGTCACTACCCCTCCGGGGTTCCCTCCCAAGAAGCCTGTAACCCTCAGCTCTATCCTGAACGGTCCCAGTTGCCCAGATAATACCATGGAACACTTGCAGACCATCGAAAACATAATAAGCAAATTGGACGAGAATGAAAAGCGAGAGGAGAACCTAAAGAAGTTCGAGCTGATGTTGAAGAAAGTCACCCAGAAGCCTGCTGAGCCTGCTAAGTGCGTTCGAGTGCTGGAAAAGCCTCCGCTAAAGCCTCAGCAGGATGCTGCCAAGAAGTCCGACAACCATCTGGGGTCGCAGGAGGCTCTCAAGAAGTCCGACAAGCATCTGAAGAAGTCCGATAATCGTCTGGATTCGCAGGAGCACCTCCTCCATCCCATCAAGCACTGCAGCGAGGTGGAGGACTTGCCTGCCAGAGGGTTGAAGGAGGAGGAGAGGGCACCCCTCAGGGAACCCCAAAGGTTCAGCAGGGACGTGAAGGAGAGGAAGAGCATGGAGAATAGCTCCAAGGAGGGGAAAGTTAGGGCAATCCCCGGGCATCTCAGCAGAACGGCTTCGGATGCGCAGGATAGTAGGGGTGTGACGGTGGTGAGGAAGCAGACTAGGGTGTCGAGGGAGAGGGAGAAGAAAGTAAGTTTTTTCGTTGTGTTTGTTTGGGTTTGGTCTGGGTCGGCCGTGGCCACAGCTGAGAGGAGATCGTCGATTGTCGATATAGAAAGGTGAATGTCGGATATGATTGGGGGTCGGTCTTGATGATTGTGGATTGAGGTCGCATTGTCGGTATACAGGGTGGACTCCACTTGTGGAATAGGATTTTTCAACGGGTTTAAAAATTTGATGAATAGAAAATGTTTTCAATTGAGAATTATGTATCCGCGATTAAACACGTGACAGGTGTCACTTGGTCACTGCATATAACGGCAAATTTAAAAAAAAAATACATTGAGGGGAAAAGTGGGGTAACATGGTGAGATATCGAATAAAATATAGAAAAAGACATTAACAATGCATTTAAAACTCATTTATTCGAGAACATTCAAAATGACATGTTTTTTAGTATTTTCTGATCTCATCCTAAATATTTTAATCTCAACATCTTGACTATAGTGAAACAGATTTATTTCGATGGTATTAACAATAGTTATTTTTGTATCTAGAGCGCGAAATGCTACTTTGGTGATCGAGATCTGATTTTTTTAACGAGGCGTAGCCGAGTTGAAAAAATAGTCGAGATGACCAAAGTATTTCGCGCTCGAGTTGCAAACAACATTTTTTCTACAAACGTCAAAAAATATAGTTCCCAAGTGAGAATATGTTTTGCTTGATATAAAAAATAGTGTTGAACTGGATTAAAATGCCTCCCCGTATCCTCCCTAGGTACGCACGATGTTCCACGAACATAATAGGAATTTCCTTTCGTGCGCTCCGAGAGAAAAAACAAAGTTATTGTTGAACATTCAGAAGTAAATGATTTCCTGGATGTTTGCTCGATTGGGAACCATAAAGTTGAAATATAAATATTTCATATATTTTACTTAACAATGCGCGAAGTAGGTACTTCGCGCACTGTTTTACTTCGCGCATTGTTTTGTGCAAGGTATCATTGTAACGTAGGAAACTGAAAAAAAGTGTCCCTTCGCAATTTGTTATCAATGCGCGAACCTTGTCATTTTTTGACGTTTGTAGAAAAAGATTTTTTTTTCATTTCTGATATAGGTAACTATCAGATACGAACCCATGTAACAGTGTGGGCCTTGGGAAATATGTTTTTTTTTAGCTTGGTTTGTTTTATCATTACCATCAAAACACAATGGTTTCTTGTCATGCTATTCAGAGAGTACCTGAAAAAATAGACATTCTTGAAGAGATCGAAAAATTAATTTTTCTACAAACGACAAAAAATGTTCGCGCATTGATAACAATTTGCGAAGTGACACTTTTTTTCAGTTTCCAACGTTTACACGACACCATGTGCGAAGCAGTACGCAAAGTACATACTTCGGGCATATGAGATTTTTGTATTTAAACTGTATCGAGCAAACATCCAAGAAATCATTCATTTCTGAATGTTTAACAATATTTATGGCCTTCTAAGCAAATTCAACAATATTTTTTATATTAAGCTAAGAATTATTACTACTTTAGAGATCATTTCGCGCACTAAATACAAAAGAAACTATTTTCAATTTTCCGTCACCAGTGATAACGTGATATTTGTCAAAATCTATGTTTGAGTAGTCAAAAGTGTACAATAGTTTTCTTAGAATAATATTTCCAATACATTGTATTTCAAATTTTCAATGGACTACTACATAAAAAGAGTATTGGAGAATATAATGCATTAGTTATTGATATGAATTGATATAATAATCAATCTTCCATTGTCATCAGTCTGATATCGTGAAAAATCTAGTTTTTGCCTCGACCTACAAGTTTGTCGCTTCCATGGATGATTATAAAAAACATTCGTGTTGAGAAATATTAACATTTTGTGTCATGTACAAAGTCATAATTCTCTATAATTCTCCAACGGTTTCTTATCTTACTGATAAGATTAGATTAAACAATCGATGAAACATACTTAGTTATATGAATACCTGTTGTTCAGGAATAACCTGAATATAAAATTATTTTCAATTCCAAACTACTTTTCAATAATATTTTGAGAATTCAACTGACACCGAAACTGATATTCATATTGTGATAATCAATGTAAATTTCGAAACTGAAATGAGCTAATTATTCTTCACGTAACCGATAAAAATCCTCCCAACATGTCAATTTCAATGTTTCCAGTCATAAAGGTTGTTTCTGAAAATCTGAAAAACACCCACACCATAAAAAAACTGAGGTCCCTAGAAATTACCCCATAGGTACGCATTATGATGTTTTCCTAACTTTATAGGGATTCCCTTTCGTGCGTCCCAAGAGATAGAAAAAAATTCACCTGCATGAAAGGTCTATCGGGTTCAAATCGGGAAGTCTACCAGGCCAATTAGCGATATCTAACTTCCTCAAGGTACTGAATCGCTATGAAAGTATTTTGTTGCAGAACGGTGAATAATTTTGAGTCGAAATTAATTCAATATTGACATACCTTATCGCCTAAGCTTCATGGAATAAAAAAGTGTAACAATTTCGCAGGAAATATATTATAAATTATTGTTTGAAAAGCGAGTAGGAGCAAACAAGAGAACGTCAAAAATACTTATCGAAGCCGAAACATGATAATCTATACCGCAAATAATAATACCTGTCTGGAAAAAAAGATTTATTTCTGATACTTCATTAATACTCGGTAATATTCCAGATGCTTACAATTCATGCATTCAACTGTCCCATTTTTATTCAAGGTATCTGTCGTTGTTGCTTCCGGTAAACATTTTGATCTCATGGTAATCTATGACATACATTTCATAAAAGGCAGTCTCATTAACATATACTAATCGGAATCACAAATATTCATGAATATTCCACTAATGGTCTCAAGAACCAATCACATTGTAATGTCTGGCACCACCATCTCCACCAAGCCCACCATATCTATGCTCGGTATTTCCATCAGATCCATCGCAAAAGCTGCTTCACAAAAACTCGAATTCTTGTTCCGTGCGAAAAGCTACTTTACACCTCAACAGCTTCTCATGATCTACAAAGCGCAGATACGGCCTGTTCTAGAATACTGTTCCCACATATGGGGTTCAGCACCAAAACATACGCTTATGCTCTTAGATTCCATCCAGAGTGAAAAAATGCCATTCCATTGGCCCACCCTGTAAACAAACGAGCGAACAATGGTTTTTTCACTCCATCGAACGTGAAATCTATTTTGCTCTCACTCTCTCTCACCTTATCTTACTGCCTTGAATGTATCCACTCCATATTGGCTTCTATCAAGCAAGACGTATTTATTGACCTTATCATCATAATAATATCGAGTACTTACATCTCAAACTTATCGTAGAGTGACAAAAAAAATCTATTTAATGAAAATGTTTTCATTATCATCGATCCAAAATGAAGAGAGTCTGGGAACGAGCTACAAACAATCTATGGAAACTAACAAATTTCCCATTTTCGGTATGAATGTTTTGAATCTATCTATACTTATACTTATATTTGTTAATAATATGAATAGTCTTCTGAATACTGAATCATATTTTCCCTTATTCCTATCTTCTTCCAGTTTTCCCTGCCGGAAATAGTTAAAACAACATACAGTGTGTCCCACTTACCATGCTCACCATGGGTATCTCTTTAACGGTGAGAGATACGAGGTCGGTTAAATGACACCAAATGTGGAGTTTGTCAAGGCCAACAGTAATGTGAAAAAATATTTTGATAAAATCTATTCGTTTTTGTTTTATACGCAAAAAACAGATTTTGATCATTTTCATGTCTCCTTCGTAACTTCTTTATTTATGAAAATATTCAAATAGGAATTTCACATTCTCATGGCAGTTTTCCAAAGTGATTTCGAAAAAAATATGAAATTTATACCAACTCTTCTAGAATTTGAGATATCAGCACCAACTTTAGTTTTTCAAATGTAGGTCATAGCTCACTATGACTTAGTTACAAATAACTTTTTTTTCTCTCACAGATGATATGTCGCAGTAATAGTTTTGTAATGATAACAACGGAGTTATCGTCATTTATACAAAAACAAAAAAATTTTTGGAAGCCGCGATGTTGAATTTATAAATTTTAACAAGAAAATTATAATCTCCGACCTCAAAAACCCCCACTTACAAATTTTGAATGGAATCGGACCAAATCTTGTCCGCCATCTTGGAGCAGCCATTTTTTTTAATTTCAAAAAAAATTCCATAATGTATTGTCACCGGATTTACGAACATCTGCCAAAATGTCGTCCGATTAGCTTGAAATTTGGCAGGTGTTCATAATTTCGGTGACAATACATTATGGAATTTTTGTTGAAATTAAAAAAAATGGCTGCTCCAAGATGGATTTATACTGATATATCGAAGACTGGAACCTTTGGAACGATAATACACTACCACCATTTATACTGAAAAAACAGTTTTTTTCTTTGTCAATCCTACCCTGATACGACGTTTTTACGAACTTTGTCGGCTTATATCTTAGAAACTAAACATACAAAACTTTTCAAACTCACATATTTTCCTAATGAGCCAATACACAACAACATAGTAAAATTTCAGCCAATTCGACCGAGAGCCAATTTCCCGTGTTTTCGTGCGGTCCTTTGTATGTTGTATTTTGGTTGTATGGTGGTTGTAAAATGACAAGAGATCGGGAAAATCACGGAAAACCGTTTCGGAATGAGATTTTCGACGTTATAAATGGCTGTCGATTATCAGGGACTTTTGTGACATTCAGGACACCAATATACGGGGTATGTCACTACGAGCTTACACTATCTTTATATCGAGAATCAGTCGGGAGAAATCCATGAAAATGTGCATGCTTATAATTCAGAATACGCTCTCTTTATTTAAAATATTTTCGCCGCTTCTACTAGAAAAAAGTAGCAACATTGATATTTAAAATGAAACACCCTATATTTTATCGCCTTTCTAGACTCTCCCTGAAGAGCTGATTCCATCGATATGTCACACTTGGGGTCTATCAAGAATGATTACAGAGATATAGGGTGTTCAAAATCGAGATTTTTCAACTTCAGGATTTTTTGTGTCGAACCTATTCATTATCGGTTGAAACGGCTTACAAGTCCTTATCTCAACTTCTGATTCACTATGTACTGATATGTAATCGGATACACATACAGGTGACCAGAATTCTGAATCTTGAACCACCCTGTATCTGTTCTGTTGAGATAGGGACATGTGAGCCGTTTATGAATAGTTTCAACACAAAAGAAATCCTAGAGTCAAAAAACCTGTAATCATTTTCGATAGATCCCAAGTTTGATGTATCGATAAAATCAACCCTTCATGGAAATTCAAAAAATGCAATTAAATACAGGGTATTCTGTTTGAAATAACAAAGTTTTTGCAACTTTTTGATAGAAGCAGCAACACTGCATTGCTGAAATTATTTTAAATGAAGAGAGCATATTCTAAAATATAAGGATGCATATTTTCATGTATTTCTTTCGACTGATTCTCGATATAGAGATAGCGTAAGCACAGAATATCCAACAATATTTTGTGGTGTCACAGATTGTTGGGTATTCCGTGCCTGAATCCACGATAATACCTAACCACAGCTGTGACCTAAGAATGAAATTCTTCCGTATTATCGATGATTCCAAGACTCGTCAATGGGCGTGTACACAACTTTGAACTCAAACCATGTTTATAATGATCCTTTTATACATAAATAATGATTGACGACATAATTCGATCGAAAAATTAGCTGGAATGTTTTATTTTTGGACATAAATAATAGTACCTTCTGAAAACGCACCCTCTTATGACGTAGAAACCTCATCTCGCCATAGTTAAAAGAAAATACCAAACGCCCGACGGAGACTGAGGCAACTGATATATTAATTCTTTCAACTGTGATCTCGCGCTAATTCACTCTGTCAGAAATCATGTATCATTCATCTCTGTCTGGAATAGTCTTGTTTCAGTATTAGGGTTTTGACGTCACATCATCGCCTCGTGTTCATGGGTCCAAAAAATCGGGGATTTCAATAATTTTTTATAAAACGTAGGGAGCTCACAGCAAGAAACGGTTTGCGGTGGTGAGCTAGTTTGGGTGAGTTCCATCGAATTATGGAATACATTTTTTTTGTGATTCTCTTCGCGACCCAAGACCCGACCCGACTTTTACCCTTCGTTTTTTCTTCTAGGCCAACGACAGCTCGTCGGAACCGACTCGGCCCAGTTCGGCGTCGACCCGGAACCGGCCGAGGATCGGCGACGAGCCGACGATCGGCAAGTACAAGCTGCTGAAGACCATCGGCAAGGGCAACTTCGCCAAGGTCAAGTTGGCCAAGCACGTGCCCACCGGCAAGGAGGTGGCCATCAAGATCATCGACAAGACGCAGCTGACGCCCGGATCCCTGCAGAAGTTGTTCAGAGAGGTTGGTGTTCTTTTTTTGAACCTTTTTTTCTTTGTTCTGGTTCCCACGAAAAGGGATATCCTGTAATGTTCAGAGAACATCGTGAGAACCAAGGGAAATAAGGTAGGAATTGGTGTTCTTCTCAAATTTCTGGAGGTTATATGCCTCGGGGAACACCTCCCTTAGCAATGTTTTCCAGAGCCTCGCTGTTCGTTGGATGAACGAGTCTTTGGAAAGAGATGTTCTGCAGGTCTCCAAAGTGACCACGAAGGGGTGCGAAGCCTCAACTCGACGGGTTAATCTCGCGGGGACTGCCAACGGAGGAACAATTGTTGATATTTCAGAAGAGCATCGTCCATGAAAATATCTATAAAATAGAGCCAGATCGCCAACTTTTCAACGTTGTTCCAGAGTAGTGAGTGATTTTGTGAGCAAGGCATCACCCACGAGACGACTTGCCCTTTTTTGGACAGAATCCAACATTTTCAGGGTATGCACTCCAAATATGGGAACAGTATTCCATGACAGGTGGGATCTGTGCCTTATAGGTCATAAGCAGCTGACTGGAAGTGGAATAGCTCCTGGCCCGAAACAGAAAACCATTTTTTTGGGATGCACTTTTAGCAATTAATCTCACGTGATTTTCCCAAGAAGGGTTATTGCTGATAGTAATACCAAGCATCGAAATGGATGTCTTCGAAGGTATGGTTACTCCTGACAAGCTTATGTTGGGCACAGTGAGATCGGCTTTTCTAGAGAAAAGGCATGCTTGTGTTTTGTTTGCATTGAAATCTACCAAGCCAAGTTATTGGATCCCCATTCGGGAATTGTTGCCAAGTCCATATTTATGTTGTCAACATTTCTCCCTTGTTCATTTATGATTTGCCTGTCTGGTATTGGAGCCCTGGAAGAGAAGGCGGTATGGAAGGTACTATCATCCGCGAAGCTGTATACTGGACATGAAGTTGCTTCCAACAAATCGTTGATATGAAGTAGATATAGTGTTGGTGCTAGAATTGATCCTTGCGGAACACCAGCATTCATGAAGAGACAGTCAGATGAAACTCTGTCGACCACTACATGGTGAGACCTGTTTGAGGGAAAACTAGCTAGCAGAGGACATAGCTGGGGAGGCAAGCCATAAGATGGAAGCTTGGCGAGGAGTCCGTGGTGGCAGACTCGATCGAATGCTTTGGAGATATCAAGTGCCACGGCTAAGGTTTCACCATATTTTTCAATAGATTGTTGCCATTTATGGGAGACGTAAGCGAGCAGGTCACCAGTTGATCTCTGATGACGGCAGTCGCGTGATGTAAAATTTACGAATTTCCCTAGAGACATAGGGTCGGTTGCATAAAGAATTGTTTAAATCCATGGCAACGTATGCCTTAGCTGACGAGTTAGAAGAGTTGATTCCTCGTTAAGTTAACAGAGAGCTTTATGCAACCGGTCCATGCCCTATTATTTTTCGAAACATTGCGATGTTAACAAAAAAAGATGTGAGCTAGTGAAAGCTCTGAGGTCTTTTCTAATTCAAGGTGAGTCTCAGAACACAACCTGTGGATTCAAGTTGAAGGCTTTGACATAATTTCTTCAGTAAGTGGCTAGGGTTTGAGACAGCCTATCTTTATCCGATATTACCAACAACAAAAAAGTGTGAATACCAATCTGTTTGGTTATTTGTGTGTTCGCGTGACCATATGGTTACGGTCGATCATGAGTTATGTAGTCGTCCAGTAGTTCCAGCAGGTGTAAGGACATCTGGACGTTGTACTCTTTGTCCTCGGAAAAATGATCGGAAAACCGTAACAAATGTGAAATTTGCGGACAGTTTGTGTAGAACACAGCCAGAAGAAAATGATATGTAACACAATATGTAATAATTGATATCTCAAAATATTTATTTTATAAGTTGATTTTTATATTTTGTATTTGTTGTACTGCATACTCTATAAAAAACGTATTGACATATTTGGACAAAATTTGTTATTTGTGTATTTTATAAATGCAAATCATATAATTAAATTAAATATCATAAATATATATGAAAACAAGGTGGGGGTACAAAAATACCAAAGTTAGTAATGTAGGGGTATTAGAAGAATGACTGAAGAGGATATCATAAAGTCGAGACCGCTCACTGACTTGACAAAGTTGTCTTGAAGAGTTGTGAAGACAAATTCGAGTGAAAATAATTGAGAATCGACTGTTTCAGGTGAGGATAATGAAGATGTTGGACCATCCGAACATAGTGAAGCTGTTCCAAGTGATCGAAACCGAAAAGACTCTGTACCTGGTGATGGAATACGCGTCTGGAGGCGAAGTTTTCGACTACCTGGTCCTACACGGCAGGATGAAAGAGAAAGAGGCCCGCGCGAAATTTAGGCAAATCGTGTCGGCAGTACAGTACTGCCACCAAAAGAGGATAATACACAGGTGATTAGGTCTCTAAGGGACAGAGAAAGCAGGTTTATGTTCTTCTGTTTTGTTCTTTCAGAGATTTAAAGGCTGAAAACTTATTGTTGGATAGTGAAATGAACATTAAAATAGCCGATTTCGGGTTTTCGAACGAATTTACTCCTGGCAACAAATTGGACACGTTTTGTGGAAGTCCACCGTATGCGGCACCTGAACTTTTTCAGGTAAGTGTAATTGTCTTCTATATATTTCTGACGATTTTTATTTTACTGGCGCAGTCGGTAGGAGCGTCAATATGCATAGATTTCTGATGATTTTCATTTGATTGGCGCAGTCGATAGGAACTCCAACGCACAAAAGTCCTCTCTAACAAAAAAATACGATTATTCTTTATCAGGGCAAGAAATAAGTCGTCCCCGAGATCCTGATAGAGCCTGCTCAAGACGATGAATCTCCGATTTTCTTTATCTTTTGTGACAATAATAATTGGAACTAGGTATTTGGATCTTCAAGCGTCGCTTTTCATAAATTTCTGAATATATTCATTCCATTGGCGCAATCGGTAGAAACGTCCAATGCAAAATCCTTTGTACATCTGAAGACTCCCCTACTTGAAGAATTCCGAGTATTCTATACAGCTAGGACGATGTACCATCAAGGATTTCTGTGTTCATTATCAAGTTTGACAATAACCAACTATCGAAGTATTTTGTTCACCGACATCGTCGAACAATGAATTTTCGTTTTTCATTATCTTTTGTGACGATTTTTATTTTACTAGTGCAGTCAGTAGGAACGTCCAACGCGAAACCGTTTCCACATCTTGTTTAGTACTTGTATAACCCTAAATAGTTTGGTACTTATACCCTATATAGTATAAGAGATTTGTATTGGTCCTTCGAGCCGGGTCTATTCAAATCAAACCTTCAAGACTACCAAGTCTGCCCAGAGTAAGAAACAAGATGTTCCTGATGTAGATATTTGAGACTTTTAGCGTCAATATCCATAGATTCCCGGCGATTTTTATTCATTTGACGCAGTCAGTAGGACATGAAAATAAATTGAAATTTTTGGAAAAATCAGAGTATTCTCTCTTAGGGCAAGAAATACGACGGCCCCGAAGTGGACGTCTGGTCGTTGGGCGTCATCCTCTACACCCTCGTTTCCGGCAGCCTACCTTTCGATGGCTCCACCCTCCGGGAACTCCGGGAACGCGTGCTGCGCGGCAAATACCGCATCCCCTTCTACATGAGCACCGACTGCGAGAACCTGCTCAAGAAGTTCCTCGTGCTGAATCCGGCGAAAAGGGCCAGCCTGGAGACGATCATGAAGGACAAGTGGATGAACCAGGGGTATGTGGGGTTAGTCGCGCTCTGGTCTTTTATTGGCGTCGTTCGTGAAGTGGTTTGGTTGGGTAGTCGAGGTGGTTGCGTAGTGGTAGTAGTGGATAGAGATCCTCAATGTATTTGACACTTGTTTGACGTATTTGTATATGTTGACAACATAAATATGGACTTGGCAACAATTCTCGAATGGGGATCCAATAACTTGGTCGATTTCAATGCAAACAAAACACAAGCATGCCTTTTTTCTAGAAAAGCCAATCTCTCTGTGCCCACTATAAGCTTGTCAGGAGTAGCCATACCTTTGAAGACATCCATTTTGTTCACTATCAGCAATAACCTTTCTTGGAAAAATCACGTGAGATGAATTGCTAAAAGTGAATCCCAAAGACTTGGTTTTCTGTTTCGGGCCAGGAGCTATTTCACTTCCAGTCAGCTGCTTATAATCTATAAGGCACAGATCCGACCTGCCCTGGAATACTGTTCCAATATTTGGAGTGCAGCACCCAAACATACCATGAAACTGATGGATTCTGTCTAAAAAAGGGCAATTCGTCTCATGGGTGATGCCTCGCTCACAAAATCACTCACTAATCTGGAGCACCGTAGAAAAGTTGGCGATCTGGCTCTATTTCATAGTTCCATGGACGATGCTCTTCTGAAATATCAACAATTGTTCCTCCCTTGGCAGTCCCTGCGAGATTGACCCGTCGAGTTGAGGCTTTGCACCCCTTCATGGACACTTAGTATCCTTGCAGTTAAACAGCACAAAATTGCCAATCATTTTGCGAATTTGTACAAAAATATCAAAACAAACGTGTCAAGTACATTAAGGAACTCTAATAGTGGGTCGACATGGTAGTGTTAGTTGGTCGGTCCTCAATGACATTTTTCATTGTCGTGATAGAAATATTGGTGTGTCACAAGGCACACTACTTGCTCTTCTCATTTTTTTACCTTCCTAAATTCATAGGATTCAAAGAAAAACCATTTTCAACAAGGAACTCCTCAGTGTTCTAGGACCACTATTGGTCGACATGCTTTACTCTAACAAAAATCTCGTCTTGTCATTGAGGATTATTAGACGTCATTCTCAACAAGATATGATCGATTTAATCCTTACATAGTTCGTCCATTCTTTGGAAAAAAATCTTCATATTGATGAGTTGAAAATCATGTCTTTCATTTGAAGTTGTATTGATGGTGTTTTTTATCACAACTGTTTTGTAGTCTAGTGTATGAGATGAAGGTACTAGAGGCCACTAATATTAGTAAAATTCGCTACAAAACAGCTGTGTTTGAATGATTTTAGATGTGTTTTAGATGTTCTTGAGTTGTGTGAGAACCATGGTATTCTTGATTTTCTACTTCGATCAAAGATGAACAATATTTCAGCCAGGTCACCATGGTTCTCGTACCTTCTCATAGTTGATCTGACAAAACTACACCATGATAAATCCTAGATGTTCGTTCGTTTGTCACAAAACTCTCGTTATTTTCACAGCACGCTCTTGTGGATTCAGTGAGACTGATTCCTGTATTTTCCAATTTTTCTAGATGAAACATCCACAATGGCAACATTTGGACAAAGTTTCACAATTTTCACCGATGCGTTCTTCTACCCCAAGACTGAATGAAGACTTAGAACCCATACGAGCTTACCTATTTGTAGAATATACTCGTTTCGTTGTACGATATTTGTAAATAAACAGTGACCGAATTACCGAAACGAACCTAACCTTATTGTGCTGTAGTTGCCTTCCGAAAATAAAACACACCTAACCCTAACACACAAAAACGCAGGAAGTGTAAGTCTAGATGTTGCGATATGGTGAATTAAAGTGCTGTGGCGCGTGCTTTTCAGGTACGAGAATGACGAATTGAAGCCCTACATCGAACCGGAACAGGACATGAGCGATCCGAAGAGGATAGAGGCTCTGGTGTGTTTGGGTTTCAACAGGTACGATGTGGAGAATTCGTTGGATTCGCAAAAGTATGATGACGCCTTCGCGACGTATCTGCTGTTGGGAAGGAAATGTATAGACGTGAGTATTCCGCTACAGAAAACCTTGATCAGTTGTCTATCTCCATGATTGCGCGCCAAAAAGTAATACCCTACGTTGGGCGCCAAATACCAAAACTGTAAAAACAATTGGGTGTAGGTGTCTACCTTTAGTATCACTTACCAACAACTCCTGTGTCATTTTTTAAAAGCAGTTGGAATTTGGGTTTTTTACGTTGGGCGCCAAATACCAAGAATTGTCATATTGTCTCTATTTAATCTAAGTGGATTTCCAAATGGCACCCACGTTGGGCGCCAAATCACGATTTTACTTTCATTCTATTTCTCCAGCCGGAAAGCGACGGCAGCCGCAGCGGTAGCAGTCTATCCTTAAGAAACATGTCAGGGCAGCAGCAGACCGCCCCACAGCCCGCCGTTCAGAGCCCCCAACACAGGGGCGTGCATCGTTCGATATCCGCAACGCATACCAAACCTAACAGGAGGGCGTCCAGTGGAGGTGAGTCTCCTTTCTTCACTTTCTTTGTTTCGTACTTTTCGGAAACAGCCCTGAATCATGTGAAAATCACATATGACGTACAGGGAAACAAATAATGAGGCTATGAGTTTCCGAAAAGTACTTGTTTGTGCTTTTTTTGGTGTCGTCACTGATTGGTTTTTTTCTGTTTTCGTTGCAGGTGGAACTATAGGTAGGTACTGGGTGTTGTGTGTTTCGGTGTGGCGTGTCGCCTATGAGAATGGACTCCCATTGAGACACAGGAGGTTTGCCAAACTCTAAGAGGCTTTCGAAAGTTTTTTATTTCATTAGTAGTATACCAGTGAGAGCGCCATTCCAAGATAGTGGTCCGGACCTCAAACTAAATAGCAATAGATAGATATAGCTGCTCATTCATTCAATATAATACGCCAAACACGGATAAATGAATTGAATCTTGAATGGTGGGGATAACTCTGGAAAAATTACCAGAGAATTGATTTTCTTCATGAAATATTGTAATGAATTTGTGTATGTGCATTAATAAATTGGCTCTCGCTTCTCTGGACTAAAATTCTACACACCTGTCAAATATCAGATTAGGATAGTTGTAATTAACTTTTCTTCACAGATTTGACACTGCCTAATCATATCTAGAGTATGATATCAAATGAGTAACTGAAACAGAAAACGGATTAAACAACAGTCGGAAAACTATTAATAACAACAAAAAAGATAAATTACATTTCTCACTTCAATTATTTCTCGTCTACTACGAAACTTTGAGATGTCGCCACGTTCATCTTTACATAATTCATAGTTTATATTTTATGTACCTAGTTTATACTCAGTATCAGTGAATTTATGACAATTATGTTGTTATGGGTTCATTATTATGAATTGAAAGATATTTTTTATCCTAAAAATTCTCTGGAATTGTCGATCTGGCAGCTGTTCCACTGAGTTCCTTAGAATGCGATGTCTTTTCCGTAGTTAAAAAAGCAAAATAAACTACTTTTCAACTAGTTACTCTGAGGTAAGGACGATCATCTTGGGGCGGTGCTTAGCAGGATATCAGAAGTTTCATTTCATCACCAGTGAGAGCGACATTCCAAGATGGCCTTCGGACAGCCATCTTGGAGCGATGCTCAGTCGCACCAAGTCTTAAAGAATAGTGTAATCGAAAACAAAAAACAGAGTAATGGTACTGTAGGGATCGTTCTTGATGGGTGTGTTCGTGTTTAGGTGAGACGTTGAGAACGGGACCCCAACAACAAGTACCTGCGGCGCAAAGCAACAACCACCAATCGGGTTTCAAAAGACAAAACACGGTCGACAGCGCCACCATCAAGGAGAACAGCGCCAGACTCAATGCCAGGCCTGCCAGTGCTCAACCAAAAACCGCCACGGATAATAGTGAGTTGAAATTTATCATCCTATGAATGAATGAGTCATTGATATCAATGATGAAGTAGATAGGACCCAAAACAGGTCCTTGGGGAATACCTCAAAATAAAGTATCCTAAAACTGGTGATTTGTTTATTCTCTCAATTTTCAATGTATATCAATATAAATATGACCCAAAACAGTTTCTTGGGGAACACAATTTCGATGTGTCATAAAATTGTTGTTAATATTTTTTGTTCCATTTTCGTTTTTTTTTATCACCCTAGGTATACAAGCTGCTAACAAAGCTCGAACGGTATCCAAGAACACCGCTTTATCTTTAGGAACCACGGTAGGGCGCAGGTCTACCATAAGTTACGATGGAAAATCAGACAGCACGGAGAAAACCAATTTGGCCGTCGATCTACCAGGGTGAGTTGAAAAGTTGTGTTAACAGCCGTTTTTGAATGTCTAATTTAACCGTAGAAAGACCTTAACAGTGCCATTAGTGTCGAGTAACTTTCAATCCCCCCTGTATGTAATTTGTTTGAGGTTATGTTTTTGGTTGGTGGTGGTAATAATTGAGTTCGAAGTTGAAGCATTGTCGTTTTAAATAAAAAATTAGTAGGCGGGGTATAACATTGTCTGTTTATTGAACAAAAAATTGCATAATCGCACTTATCGACAGTTTTTTCAGTAAGCCAGTGCCCTCTAATTCAAACTAAGTTATACATTTCTTATCCCAAACATAGGAATAGTAAAAACAAATTGATGTTTCACACATTAGCGATCAATTGGAACTAATCATAATAAGGAGGTTTTATATGAATGTAATATTGATTACAGTGAAACCTCAGACTTCAAATCAAACTTGTGTTTCGTCTGAAATGACGTTAGTCACGAAAGCGCAAATACAAACAACAATTTCGAAAAATCTATTCAATCTGGTTCAGTACAGTTTAAAAAAACTAGGAGGTCAAAACTTGAACCTAAAATTGTCCATATTGGCAATTTTCAATATTCAAGCAGACATATTTTGGTGAACAGACAATCTTATACCTCGCCTACTAGGTTTTCATTTGGAACGACAATGGTTGAAGCAAACAATGTTTTCTGTTTGTATTCGGAAGTATGTTTGCAGTTTTGACATAACTACATTAAATTAGCGTTATTAATTTTCTATTTGCTATTTGGATAAGGGAATGAACTTAACTGGTTATCAATTGAGACTTAAAATCTGAAATTCTCTCTTTAATTCGAAACATCACGATTTCGGATTTCCACAGCCGATTTGCAATTACTTTCCAGTAGTTTTCAAATTCTTGTTTCATTAGTTACTGAGTCTTTACTTAGCCCTCGCCCTTAGGTCTTGAGAAAAGCCTTCCCCTAATGAAATGTGAAAAATCTGTATTGTTTTGCTAACTGCATGCTGAACTCCGAGACTGTCGGCTCAGGAGTACTCCTGAGTTTTGGCAAGGGCTCATTGTTATCAATTCAATATTTTCACTTTGGAATCAGGAATAAACTTAGTCACCATTCAAAATGTGAAATGGGAAATTGAATAACAAATTCGGATTTCCACAACCGATTTCCAATTTCTTTTCACTTTTCGAATGCTTGTTTCATTATACACTCACTGGCAAAATAAAACCGGCCACCAAAAAATTTAATTTTGCCAAATTTTTCTTCATGTAACTTTTTTAATTCGCGTCCGATTTAGATGAAATTCCGACCAAATAATATATACATGTTTCGGAATGTTAGCCTGGATGTAAGTCCTAAGAAAAGCTGATGGCTTGTTCATTATACAGGGAAAAACAAAAGTGACTCTTTCACCCTTAACTTCTCAACGCCCTGTGGCAAAGATGAGTGGTTAAACTGAGCTTCATTATGTTTTGGGATAAAGTGTGATCCATTCTTAACACAATCGTTTCCGATTCTCATCGATAACCACTTTTTAAGAAAGGATATGAGTGTTTTAAGAAAGTATGTTTTTTTTTCATTTTTATTAACAATAATTCAGAACCATTTTCCAACCTTCTGCATTATCATGTTTTGAATTGAAGTGTGATCCTTCTTTGTCCCTTCTTAACACAATGGTTCGAGATTCAAGTCAATATCTTCTTTTTAAGAGAAGATACAAGTCTTTTAAGAAAGTATGGATTTTTTAAAATTTTTATCAACAATAATTCAGAAGTTATAGAGCATCTTGGGGATGAACTCCAGAGGCTCATCCGCCACAGAGACTCAAGAGCTACAATTCGCCCTTCAAGGAGATTTTTAGGCAATTCTCCAAGACTACTTTATAAATTTTATCAACTCGATGCCACGGCGGTTGAATGCCTCGTTGAATGCCTCGTTATTGACTACACAGTTCTGCTTTTTGTTTGTTTTTATAATCAAGATTTGTTTTGTAAGTGCTAAGAAAATGAGGTATAAATATGTGATATTAATTCTTCAAGTTTATGTAGGTTCTGATTATTGTTAATATGAGTGTTAATGAAATTTGAAAAATTCCATACTTTCCTAAAACACTTGTATCTTCTCTTAAAAATATGGCATTGACGTGATTCAAAAACTATTGTGTTAAGAATGGATCACACTTCAATCCGAGGCATAATTAAACCAAGTTCAACCACTCAATTTTGCCATAGAACGTCAAGAAATTAAGGGTCAAAATAGTGACTTTGATTTTTCCCTGTATAAAGATCAAGTCATCAGCTTTTTACTCAAACTAATATTCAGGCTAACATTCCGAAACATAAATCTCGATGTGATCGAGATTTCGTCAGAATCGGGCAAGGATTAAAAAGTTACAGGGTGAACAAAATCAAATCAAAATATGCTTTATTGTCACTTAAAAATGTGATTCTTGTAGACGAAGCTAAGTGTTGTTAAACTTGAATAATAATAATAATAATATAATGTAATGTATATAACAAATATTAGCATAAATCCATTATTTCACAAACATGTGCACACATAAGGCTCCGTCCAAAATACTTGTTCATAAAAATCCTCAACATTATAAAACGCATAAGGGACTAACATAAGTTTTTCAATTCCTTTCTAAATCAGAGGTAGATTTAACTCTAGTTGGAAGATGATTGTACATTTTTTAGGCCATTATATATTATGGAATCTTTTATTAGTGAATTTCAGGGCCGGGGAAGCTTTACCATGTCTAACTGGCGTGTTTTATAAAATGATTCCACGACTACGTAATGGGGGAGACCACTGATTTTTTGAAATGACATTATCGTGAACTCTATACTGAAAAACTCCCAGCGAATTAATTTTGAATTTTTTCATTCATGCTAAGACGATGAAAATAATAAATTAGAATATGTCCATTTCAAAACACACAATTCCTGCGCCATTTGAAATGTTGTCAATTCATTGGTGTGACTGGTGCAACGTCTTATTCCCAACACGCCTACTGTCCTTGAACTGACCAATCACACTGCAACACTGCAGAATGACGAGGTATCAGAGAGAGATAGCTATAGTTCGGGACTATTACGTCACGACTCCACCATCATATTTGGCTGTTTGAAATATCGAATGGAATATGCTGATTTCAAAACGATATAGAATCGATTCCCTTCAACTTCAACTCATAATATTGATTGTACATCAAACGTAAATCATGATTCGTCGATTGAAAGAGGTTTGCACGGATTTCTTCTCTCAGTGGTCTTTCCCATTATCTCTGGTTTTGTGAATCAAACATACCGACTCAATAAACAAGGATACTACTGTTGACACTCTGTGCTCCCTAAATAACTCTTTGCAAAATGCAATTTCAACAATTCTGGCAATTTTTTTGGTGGCCGTTTTTTATTTGTCGGTGAGTGTATATCGAGTATCTTTACCTAGCCCTGGCCCTTAGGTCTCGACAAAAATAACCCTTCACCTTTCCCTAACGAAATGTAAAAAATCTGTATTGTTTTGCTAACCGCATGCTCAGCTCCGAGGCCGTCGGCTCAGGAGACTCCCTGAGGCCTGGCAAGGGCCACGTCAAATCGGCTTCGGTGAGCAGTGGCGGGCCCGAACCGGCCACAGACCCTTTGCGTACTAGGTAGGTCCGTCCCTGTCTTCAACCAGGGGTGCTCAAACAGTCGATCGCGAAAAAATTGAAATTAATCACCACAAATAATATCGCCATTTCATTAGAAGTTCAACTTCATACCAGTATAATTTACTATGTATTTATACAGGGTGTTTAAAAACGAAACTGACCCTCTTGCATGGGTAGGTAAAACACTGCCAATGAAACTGAATATATATTATCCCATCAGAAAAATAAACATAATATTAGTCTCAATCTCCAAATTGAAAATGAAATATTGAAAAAAACTACACATATAAAGTATCTTGGTATGTGGATTGATGAAAAATTGAAATGGGACAAGCATATAGAGGTTCTGATACAAAAAATATCTCCAATCATTGGAGCTTTGCGAAGATGTCCTAAACTTGACAAAAAGGTCATAAACATAGTACTTCATTCTCATATACTCAGTCGTATTACCTATATGATAAACGTTTGGGGATCTTGAAAGTATTGTATTGTCTCTCATTTGATATCCCAATATGCGATAACAGAAAAAATTTCATTGGATGAATTATATAAAATAGATTCTCTTAAAGTTTCATATAATATCATAAACAATAATGTGAAATCCAATTATGTTTTGATAAGAAACTCAGAAATTAATGGTCATCACACGAGACAATTGAACTTATTCCATCTTGATTCTGCTACTTCTGTAATTGGCCAAAAAAAAAAATTTATTCACGCTGCTCTAGCTGAATTCAATAAATTACCACATGATATAAAAAAATTGCAGACATTTCAAAATTTAAAATTGAATTGAAAAAACACATGATTTTATTACGAAATGGATTAAATTGATACTTTGCCATCTACTGATTAGTCCCTATGGCTATTTTTATGACTTGATCGATTTAGCATTTTTAGATTTTTTTGTATTTTTTGTTGTCGTTGTCACCTTATATTATTTTATTATTGTTGTTTGTTATCAACTTCCTCATACCAAATTTCTATTTCTGACTGGAAGCTAGTTTTTCAATAAACAATAATAACTGCAGAATAAGTTGGGTTTACTAAGTAAAAAAATGTCGTAACGGAATACGTTTCCGATATACAAAATTTTCAAAAAGGTCCATTTCTGTTTTTCCTAACCATAATATCAATGACGAACACTCTGGTGATCCTAATTCTAACATATGAATTTTACATATCTGTGACAAAGGAAAAAACTTAACCTCCTTAACACCCTGGAAATTAATAAAGCTGTCAAAAACTCTAACCTCAACTGCCTCAATGAACAAACCCATTTCGAGTGTCTTAAACTGTTCAACTCCTTATTATTTTACAATAATTCTGTTCTGTGTTCTATGTCACTTCGAAAAACATTCCTTGGATTTCACTTGACTGGTGTCATTCTGATGTTGTGTTTAGTTAACCTAATTCAACAAATTCCGGCCCACATGTTGGAACTTTTTAATATTTGATTCATATCGAATTATTTTTGAAAACTAAGCTCTTATAGAGCTGTGATCATGGTTACACGGGTCGTTCCGAGTAGTTTTAAACGTTTAAACATAACGTTTTTCAGGCTAGATTTTCCAAACCAAATTCGATATATACCGTTTTCGCAATATTTCGATTCAATTAAAATTCATGCGATGTGTCAGCTTTCAATACACATCCATAAAAAATTTCAATGTTGCTACTAGTTTCGACAAAATGTGTAGAAAAAACATTCTTTCAACACCTTGTATATTGAAAACGGATGCTGTTGCGAAATTTTTTCACTGAGCAAACCCAACTTATTTTGCATTGTTCTACCTACGCTAGCAAGGGGGTCAGTTTTTTTAAACACCCTGTATAGCGTGTCTCACTTTAAACGGCCCCTCCTGTATATCTCAGCTATTAGTTGTACTATTCTTACCAAATTTGGATTGGTATGAATAACCATTGCAGTGCCGTGCGTTTTTATTGAAATAAAGAGGGGTCGATTTTTCATGAAATCATATTTGGCATTTTTTTGCAGTAATACGTATACTTCCTAATATAGTTTTTCATGGGTTCAAGCCTCAGTATGTGAATTTTTATACAGAGTGGGCCATCGAAAACGAAACAGAGGCTCTGTAGGTCGCCAAAACCGGATTATGAAAAAAAATCTGAAACACGTCAACTGCATTTTCGAGGGGAACATCGTTCTGAAATATTTTCAGCCTTGCGGCGTTGCCGCTTCTAACGAAAAGAAGCAAAACTTTGTTATTTCAAATGGAACACCTTGTATTTCGTTGAATTTTCAGATTCTCCCCGAAGAGCTGATTTCATCAATGCATCACACTTGGTTGAAAAATTTCTATTTTGAACACCCTATATCTCTGTAATCTTTCTCGATAGACCACGAGTATGATATATCGATAAAGTCAGCTCTTCGGGGAGAATCTAAAAATTCAATGAAATACAAAGTGTTCCATTTGAAATAACAAAGTTGTTGCTTCTTTTCGTTAGACCTGTTTCGTTCTCAATTGCCCACTCTGTATACTCCTGTAATTGGACTCCGGCCTGTTGTATGTATTATGTATAAATAAATAAACACGACAATAGTTTAGTGCACTAGTATTAGTGCATTTGTAAAATTTATTACTCAGGTTATGTTAGCTTTTTTCTCATTGTTATAATGAATTTTCATCAAGTCAAAGGTCAATTCAATATTCTTTTCTCGTTGTTTTTGACTTTAAGACGTCTCATCGGTGAAATGAATTATTTTCTCTCATGCTCTTGAAGCGAAAATTCATCTGTATTAATATATTACATAGAAGTTTTACGGTATTATGATGATTATAATGATTTTTTGAATTGACTCGGCCGTTACTTGATGGAAAATCCATGGCAAATGTAAAAACTTCATAAACGATAAGATTTCCACAAAATTTTTAAACACACAACATGTTTCGCTAACACAGTGCCTTCGTCAGGTGATATACTGGTACAATGAACTAAACCAACGTTGGCTTGCTTAACTTTTATATATCCTACTTTCCCAACTTGAAGGATTAGTCCTGTGGACAGGATCGATAAACCTCCATTTTCGGAAACTAGGTACAATATCTACATTAAAATGCGGTGTACCGGATTAACTCGAATGGATTCATAGCAAATAAATATTATTACCTACTAAGAAAACAAATTCAACAGTGGTGATTGTAATGACGAAATGAAAATCTCTCTCGTCTTGTTGTTTAGCCGCCCGACCGGAGCTTCTCCTGCCCCCGCCGCCCGCGCCTCGCAGCAGCAACCGGCGGCGGCGGCGTTCCCCCGCAACGCCTCTTCGCGCAGCACGTTCCACTCGGGGCAGACCAGGCCGAGGGCGACGTACGCGCAGGGCGGCGGTCCGGGCGGCGATTCGCCCCACGGCCGGCCCTCGTTCTTCGCCAAGTTCAGCCTGAAGGGGTTCACCAAACGGTGAGTACTGGAACTGGACGTTCTCGCTCGCTCTCTCTCTCTCTCTCTCTCTCTCTCTCTCTTTCTCTCTCTCACGCTCTGTCCATGATGCTAAAACCAAGAGAAGATGTGATCACTTGCGGTCAATGAACGCAATATAAACAATTGGAAGGGACCCTCTGTGAACGACGAGTGATGCAAAAATATTGTTCAGGCAACCCGCAATGTTTACGGATATCTATCTCTCTCTATCTCACTCTCACGCTAGATCCATGATTCTAAAACCAAGAGAAGATGTGATCACTTGCGGTTCGAGTTTCGAACAAAAACGAATATAGTGTCACGAGTGGCTCTAACGCCCACTCTCGCAACTCGAACTTACTCGCTTGCAGAGGTTTTTTTGAAAATGATAACTGAATAATTTAACTCCAATTCACAAGTTTATTCATTTTCAATAAAAACAATTAGGGCATGAAATAAATTGACCATTAATTATCCAGCAAGATATATCCAACTCAAATCGAAACAAAACAGGAAAACTAAAACTAGTAATACTCAAAAAATGTACTTACAGAAGTGCTCGCTTTTCGTTGGAGGATTGGAACTGCCACTCACGAAGTTTAGACATGATGCAAATAAGTTTGAGATTTACTTCAATTAGAAGATTTGAAAAGACTTTACGGTCCACTGTCCGAACCACAACTGCCGGTTTTTTCTCTAATACTTTTTCATCTTGGTTTTGGTAGTGGTAATTGATTCAGCATAAAAACTAGTGTATTCACCTCGATTAGGAAAAATCCAAAACCAGCAGTTTCTGCACGTCAGCGACTTTACTTGAATAATAATAAAATTGAAATCCGAACTTTAATTTCCTTTGAATATCGTAATTCTCTACTGATATCCTGTAAGCTGAATAATTCTAAGAATATGATCTGGACTAGTATTGTACTGTTCTTGAATGAAATGAGAATTTCAAATATTCTCAATAAAATTTTAGTTTTTATCTATTCTTGCCAATAGGTTAGGATGTTCAGCATATATGGAGTTGTTAAAATTACTGTGAAAAGACTCACAGGCATTTGTTGTACGAGTGATGGTAGATGAATGTTCTGCCCAGATAATAGGTGGGAATAGTGACTCTTCAGAAATATAAGTATCTACTAAATAGTCGGCATATTTCACAACTCGGGGGTCTTGGGGCATATTTTCAGACAATGGGCGTGTACACCTCAGTAGAACTTTCAACTCAAACCATGTTTATAATGATCCTTTTATACATAAATAATGATTGACGACATGATTCGATCGAAAAATTAACTGGAATGTTTTATTTTTGAACATAAATAATAGTACCTTCTGAAAACGGACCCTCTTATGACGTAGAAACCTCATCTCGCCATAGTAAAAAGAAAATACCAAACGCCCGACGGAGACTGAGGCAACTGATATATTAATTCTTTCAACTGTGATCTCGCGCTAATTCACTCTGTCAGAAATCACGTATCATTCATCTCTGTCTGGAATAGTCTTATTTCAGAATTAGGGTTTTGACGTCACATCATCGCCTCGTTTTCAGAGGTCCGCAAAATCGGAGATTTCAATAATTTTTTATAAAACGTAGGGAGCTCACAGCAAGAAACGGTTTGCGGTGGTGAGCTAGTTTGCGTGAGTTCTATCGGATTATGAAATAAAAATTTTTTGTGATATAAGCCCATTCAAGAGCAAAACACTCACCTACTTCGGTCGAATCGAGATACATAAATGCAAAAGTCAATTTTAACGATTTGCCTATTTCACTTGCCTCATGCTTGTATTCCGGTACCAAACCACAAGTTTGAATTTTTCGGTACCATGCCTGAGACATGTGAAACCTACAACCAACAATTTTAGCATTAGGCCAAGTGTGGTGTATGACTTTCTCAAAATCTACAACTACCTCTATAATATTTAAATCAATTCCTTTTGACAAACACGCGCCTATGACTAGTTGAAATAGTTTTGTGTATATTTCCGCGCTCTTACTTGGAAGCAAACAATAAATAAGCGGTATGTATCTTCCATTTACAAAACCGTGTATAGTGAAGAATTTTGAACAGTACCTAAAAGTACCATCTATGTAAATACCTGACACGTCTTTAACAATGTTGATGTTTGTATCACAAGAAAAATGTATGATGTTATCTCTCTCGTTATTAATTAGTTCGAAATTCTCATACATTCAAACTAGATGAAGCTATATGTACCTCGTTCATGTTCTTTGGTGGAGGCGCTCAAACCGTTTGTGTTTAACTGTTGAAAGTTTCTATTGAGGTCAAGGTACAGAAGAAAGCAACTAAATAAGTTTTTTAACACAAAATTTATTCAAAATCAAACTAGAAAACAACTAAAATAATTTTAGTTTACCTACAAGCTTAACTATTTTTCGTCTGATTCTCACATCAATAAACATATCGATAATATCGTCGTCGTCGAAAGTTGAAACATTTAATCTGTCCTCGGTCATGGAACTTCGGACTTTTCATAAGCTTCAGTTTTGAGAAAGATCACTCTGTGACTAGAGAGAACTAACCTTCTGAAGAAAAATATCGTGCGCTTGAGCTTATCTTCCTTGGTTCTAGTATCATGGCTCTATCGACATCTCTGTCTCCTTGTGTGTTCTGTTTATTGGTATGTGGGAGTGGTGGTGTATGCTACGGTGGCCTATAGTGCAGAAATAACTTTTGCGCTTTATTATTTACACTAACAAGTTCATTCACCTGCATTCAAAATGTTGAAGCCAAATTTGGTCTTAGTTCTTGGCTGATTTGCAGGCGGCCTACAATGAGAAAGTATAATATGTGATTTCGTATTAGTTTTACATCGAATATTTTGCTGATGTATTTACCAATTTTCCCCATTCGGTCACTTCACTTTCCATGTTCTCTAAGTTCATTTGCATTTGATGGAAAGCTGACAAATTCAAATTTGCCATCCAACTGAGGCTATATTCCGAATTCAACTGACAGTACTGAATCTACTGATTTTTCATTCCGAAATCAAAAAAAATCACTGAATGTGACAGATGCTTGTGAGCAGATATACTATTCATTCCAATTATTTCGACTCAACATTCTGCTGAAATTGCTGAGTATCAAAAGGTAGTGTGGCTTCAGTAAACTGTCATAGAGGAGGAAGGAATGTAACATTCATTTCCGTTGTTAATTATATTATTTTCGATATCAGAAAATACCCGTTATCAAAATAATAAACGCTGAGAATATAATATAGAGATTATATAGAGTATGAAGTAGAAGAGAGGTGACGAAAGAAAAAGCAGCATTGGGTAAATAAATATCTAAATAAACCTGAAATGTTTCCTGAATTCATCATCATTGATGCCATATTACATAAATGTCCAAGTATTCTTCATCACTCGAACTTGAATCGTCATCGTCAACAATCGAAGAAACTATGAAGGCTACAAGAACCGATTGCTCTTCCATGTTAAATATTAAATTTCCAAAATGTATGTCAAGCAGGAGGCTAAATAATCTAGTTCAGATAAACGAGATACTACATACGGAAAAATTTCACCAGCTGATCAACTGCTGCTGACTACTGATGAAAACCATGAAAACGTGTTCCGAATTAAAGCACTGTATTTTTGATTTTATATTTAGGAACACATATTTTCAGCAGAGTCAGTGTATCTGCTGACAGTACTGACCAGTTGAATTCGGAATATAGCCTGATTGATACAGCCAAACGCAGCAAATTTTACCATCCTTCAAGAATTGAGTAATGTCGTATTGAGATAAAGTATGAAATTAAAATGTAAGATCTCTTTTAACGCCTATGAATGTGACGTGACAGCAATGTCATGTCAGGGACGCCAATACACGAAACCAAAGTCACTAGATGATTAAAAGAGAAAGGAGCTATGATCTGTCCGTACCCTGTTAGATGACAAATACGTCAGTTTGCATCAAGGGAAACTAACCTAACATTGCTTATATACTTACGATTCCTCTCAATACAAACATTGCTTTTCTGTGCTAATACAATGCCTGTCAGAAATCTTCAACACTTTCTCCATTATCACATTTCATTCATTTCATTACTTTTTTCTCTCCAAAACGTATCAGCAAAAAAATATAGTCGCGCGAAGTTCCTTACCAAATTTCTTTGCCATCGAATTGGTACGAGATGGAATTGTCTAAACGCCTCTGGATGATAGAGAAAAAAGTGCCCAAGAATGTTCTCTTGTGATATTACTACAGAATAGTTCCCACATCAATACAAAATGATTTTTTTTTTCACAAGTCCCTTTTTTTTCTGTCTAATTGTTTGCTATAAAGTGGGTGAAATCCGAATTGGTGATATGCCACGCATTTTATGAACATTCCTACAAATTCAAATGTGTATGTGTATGTAAAGTATGAAAAGAAAATATGTAATTTCTTCTTCTAAATCTACAGCTTCTTTGTGTTGTAACTAATGGAGTATCTACTAGTAAATCCTGTTAACTTTTACGAGTGTTGGAATTTTCAAAAAAAAAAGGAAGAAAAAAAGAAAGAAAAGCAGTTAACATGGTTTCCTAGTACTACATATTTTGTTGTGTTTATGTCGTTACATTGTGTTACATCATTTTATTTTAAAATCACAATTTGTAATATGTAATGTCTTGTTGAAATGAATACCTTAACCTACATTCAAGAATTTCAACCTCTAAGGGAAGTATTTCTTGATGATGGAAGTACAAATGTGTTCAACTGATTGAAAAAGATAACATTTTATTGTATAATATACAGTATTATAACAAATGATTGGACTATGCACTATGCAGAATAAGAAAAATATGATATGGAACTAGTAAAAGCGAACGTAGGATTTCATAAATATTATTGTTTTATTGTGTACAAAATGACATTTCCTTGAAATATACTTTGGCTTTGTATAACTGAATAATTTTACCATGAAAGCCCTATAATGAATGAATATATTCTCAGCTGACCGAGTACAACTAATTAAGTCTGATGGCCGAAACAGATTTATCTAGCTTTTGCAGTCAAAATTGAGTGATAATTCGTATTAACTTTGAAATGTGGTTTCCAATGGAAAAAATATTTACACGGAATACAGGGCGTTTCAGTCTAAAGTTGATGTCGCTTTTAGGAAATGCAGAAAAATAGCTGGCTCAGTTCAATAAAATTTGTGTTTTGTTAATTTTTGTAACACCCTTTCATCATGAAATTATTGTTAGACAAATGAAACAAAATGGCGACTCAAAAATAGCGGACAAGTTTTGTAATTGTGATCCGATTCTAGGCAAAATTATCATCTTGGGGATTTCAAGGTCGAAGATTATGATTCTTTCGTCAGAATTGATAAATTCAAGATGGCGGATCCAATATGGCAGACTAGTTTTGTAATTACGATCGGAATCTATTTAAAATTGGTGGCTGGGGGTTTTCGGGCTCGGAGATTATGATTCACTCGTCAAATTCAAGATGTCGGATCCAATATGGCGCCCGAGTTTCGTAATTATCGTTCTATTCTATTCCAAATTGGTATCTGGGAGTTTCCAGGGTTGGAGATTATGATGCTTTCGTCAATATTGAAAAATTCAAGATGGCGGATCCAATATGGTGGACGAGTTTTGTAATGATGTGATCCGGTTCGGTTCAAAATCGGTATCTGGACGTTTTCGGGGTCGGAGATTATGATGCTTTTGTAAAAATTGGAAAAAATATGGCGGACGGGTTCTGTATGTATGTACATGGAGGTGCTAATATTTTCCATGTTGTGTATTTATCAAACACACTTTTATTATTTTATTTCCTACCTCTTTTCAGTTTGACTATCTATGAAAGGGTGCTTCTTCATTTTTTTCACCTACTATTATGATATTTTGTACCGTCAATGTTGATGTAACGCTTTGTAATGACTAGTCTTAATTGGGATTTTGTGTGCGAGTGGTTCGTCCCTTGAAAATCGATTACAAAAAAAAAGATGCTTCTTGCAAACCAACAATGAAAATACAAAAAAGATGACGCGTTGTTTCTGGTTCAGGACTTGAGAGAAGGATTTTGAGGGACTTACCACCGCACCGAAGGAAAACTCCCCTCCCACCTCCCAAAAAGTCCCCCCGGAAGCATCGTGGGATTGACAAGAAATGCTCCAGGACGGGACGACGAAGGAAGACGAGAGATACGCAGACAAGTGATATATGCAATTTGATTTTGTTATTTTTTTGCGGTGATTTTGTTGCGAGTAACTCGGCAGGATTGTTTCCAATGGAAGCTTGTTTTTTTTTCGAGTCATTTTGAATGTTTGTTTTTTCTAGCTGATATACAGTTTCATTCGAAATTTGACTTGGGTGTTGAGATTTTTTGCGAATGACACTGTATTTGAGAAAAAATACACGGACAATTTATTTCGATTTTGAAACAATACTGAATTCTCGGATTTGAAAATATTCAAATTAATTTATTCTCTACTTGCATTATTTCAGTTCATTTGTAGTCAGGAAAAATCAAGGATTTTAGAAATCTTGAAGATAAATTCAGTTAATAGTCAACTTCTTGTTTGAAATTTTTTTTTCTTCCGAGATTTTTTTAATAAAACGCCTAACACGATGGCGATAAAATGTTGATGAGTTTCCCATATTTAAAACTTGTGTCAGGGTGATTAAAGTGACTCTTAGTGCAATTATTGAACAATAGACAGTCTGTGAAAGAGACTGAAACCAGTCATATCGGCAATTTTCTTACTGCTAAAGCATTCTCATTAATTTTGTACTAGATCTCACTGTTGTATTGCAAATATTCTATTCCCAAAAATAGCGTCCAAAAAAAAGTCGCATTGTTATTTATTTTTCATTGTAAGTAAGAAAGTTTCGAAAATTAGAAAAAAACGTGTATTGATTACGACAATTTATTATTTATATTGTATTATATTATGAAAAGCTCAAAAAACAAAAAAAAAATCTTCAAATTCAGAACTAGCTAAAATTGTTAAAATGCTATATTTTGTTATGGACTTGAACATGAAATGTATGCGATCAACTATGTATAAACATTAGAAATAATTTTTATTCTTTACCAGTTATCAAGTAACTGGTAATTGAATTGTTTTATTGTTTTAGTTAACAAATTTACCCGACCAAAGTATTATGTGAAAAATTGTATTATGTTTGTTATATAAGATTTAGAACTGTATGAAATTGTCGAGGAGATGTTAATATAGAATGGAATCTTATTATGTGTTTGTTTGTTGTGAGATTATAAACTGTAAGTATATGTTTGAATTTGATCGAAAATCGAAAAATACATTCATTAGGAATATCCATTTTGATATACATAAGCGATTCTCCCCACCTTATGGCGAGGAAATATCGCGAAAAATTAGAAAAATATATGCAAGTTTTTTTTGATAGGATGTTATACCAATTTAAATATGCAGAATATCGTTTGAAATTCAATTCATTTGCATATTTTTCGTATGAGGTCCCCAATTTCCAAAACATTTTCAAGATTCACCCTCATTTTTCACTAAGGAATTTGTATTGTACCTACTATCACTTCCACATTTTATAAGTTTGCAGAACAATATTAACAATGCATTGAAGGGTGGTTATTGTACTATCACTTACACTTCTTTTAGGAATACGTACATAAGAATGAAAATAAATATTAACAACGCACATGTTTTGTTAAGATGGAATCAAATTCGACTTAACAACTTCTAGGATTTTCTACATCAGTGACACTGCAACACTAATGTCTGATCTGTGGCGTTTTGGTTTTCAGAGCTTTAGAGCCAGGTCAGCAAGTGAAACATGGCAACTCACCTTTACCTGCACTAGGGTAAGTTAAAAATAAATAAATCGGAGAACACTACGCAATAATGTTCAAACAATTTTGTACAAGATACATTATGAGAAACGCCGCCAATTTTTCGTCAGTTTTCAGAAATTGATTGGGTGATATCAGAGCCATCGTGATATCAAATCACAGAACTATAACTCAGAGAAGAATGAAAATCAGTTGTCAACTTATTCGAAATTAACGTTTACACAACATGACCTACCCAGCTGATTCAGCTTATTTGTTTTTGTATGTTTATTTCGGTATTTGTGTTATCCCATCCACTTGTTTTTATTTAAATCAGTTGAGGAAACATTCATTCGATGATAATATCTTGACTTGAACAGTTATTAGCTATGAAAACATCGGTAATATCCATAGAATCACATCGCAGGTGAATCATATGTCAAACCTTCAGTGTATCAGGACCGTTTTGGGAAAATCTCCATGTGTTTCAATTTTCATTTGTCACTTGCAGCTTAGGAAAACAGACTGTCTTTTTGGCTACAGGCTATAGGAAGGAATAGGGATATTATAAGGAACGCTGCAAGTTGTAACTTCGCCAATTTTTCGTCAGTTTTCAGAAATTGTTTGGGTGATATCAGAGCCACTGTGATATCAGATCACAGAACTATAACTCAGAGTAGAATGAAAATTAGTTGTCAAATTATTCGAAATAAACGTTTACACAACATGACCTACCCAGTTGATTCAGCTTATTTGTTTTTGTATGTTTATTTCGGTATTTGTGTATTCCTAGCCACTTGTTTTTATTCAAATCAGTTGAGGAAACCTTCATTCGATGATAATATCATGACTTATGAACAGTTATCAGTTATGAAAACATCGGAAATATCCATTGAATCACATCGCAGGTGAATCATTCGTCAAACCTCCAGTGTATCAGGACCGTTTTGGGAAAATCTCCATGTGTTTCAATTATTATTTGTCACTGGCAACTCAGGAAGAAAGACGGTATATTTGGCTACAGGCTATAGGAAGACCTTTTGAATAACAATCCCAACCTCATAATATTTTGATATGCTCGAGAATGGTAGAACAAGGTAAAATGATTTGATACAGTGTCAACCTAATATTATAATAACAAGGTTTGACATCAGGTTTCCATTAGTCAATCAAATCTCAAGGATTGTTTGGAGAAAGAGTTCTTATTTTTTCATGAAAACCTCATACATTCAGTGAATTTTTAGCATTTTTGGAATTGTGCCCTTCGCTTCGCGGTCGGATTATTTCAACTGTCAAACTGACACTTTGTATGTTTACAAGTTTTCGATGTATATCCCGAATATTTTGAAGTACTCATAGTATTAATACTGATTATCTACGAAATTTAGTAGGCTCCGCCTGTCACTTCGAAGTGTCCATCAAACAATAATACGGCCACAATTCAGCGACGAAATTGAGTTGTTTGACGTTTTTATTGGTAGAAAATGCGTGATTCAAGTTCAAGATTCACCAAGTGATATTCGAAGAAGTGGCACAAAATAAAATGTACTTTTCTTGCCTTCCATCTATATTTTGGTGATGAAATAAATATTTCATCACCAGTTATAAGGCGTTTCGAAACCTCTGACTGTTTTGAGAAGTGTCACATTACATGTCAAAATTAGAAAAAGCTCATTTTACCAGCTTTTTGTATTTTTTTTCTGCTCGTTTCCACTTATTTAAGAAAAAAATCAGTATAAATCAAAATAATCACGATTCAATCGAAAAAAATCAGATTTTTTTATTTTTTGCTTCGTAGCTCTCGCCCTTCTGACTCGATCTCGTTCCGCAGAGCCCCGGGGGGCGTCGGGGGCCACCCCCCGAACGAGGAGCACGTCAAGCCCCGCTCCCTACGATTCACCTGGTCGATGAAAACAACTTCGAGCCGGGATCCTGGAGAGATCATGGCCGAGATCAGGAAGGTGCTCGATGCGAACAATTGCGACTACGAGCAACGGGAAAGGTTCCTGTTGCTTTGTGTGCACGGAGATCCGAACACGGATAGTCTGGTGCAGTGGGAGATCGAGGTGTGCAAGCTGCCGAGGTTGTCGCTGAATGGTGTTCGGTTCAAGAGGATTTCAGGTTGGTGACGATTTTCGGATTTTCGGATTTTTTTCATTTTTTTTCATATTTGACCCCTCTAGAAAAAAAATGGTACGCCCATGGAGTAGTTATTTTGATGTTTTCTATCGTTTGATGTCTGAGAAATGTCGAAATTCTAACATTCCTAAATTTCGGAACCATTAAAAAATAGGTACCTACGCCTCTGCAGTGGATATTTTCATTTTCTTGCTGATCGTTCGAAGAAATGTCGAAAATTTTTCCAATTAGCACCCTCTTAGAAAATATTTGGTGTGCTCCTGATTTTCATGATATCAAAGAAGTGACGAAATTCTGTTTTATTTTTCATTTTTGACTCCTTCAGAAAAAAATGGTACGCCCCTGGAATCGTTATTTTGATGTTTTTATCGGTGTCTAAGAAACCTCGGATGTGATGTTATTGAATCCTTGAAAAAAAAATATGTACGCCTCTGGAGTCGATATTTTGATATCCTCTATAATTTGGAAATATTTGGTGCGCTCCTGAAGCCTTTTTTTCATTTCCTATCCTTTCGAAATTCTGAAAAAAAATTGAGTGCGCCTCTGAAGTCGTTTTTTGTGTTAGGTTGGGTGATGTCTAATCAATTTCAGAATTCTAATTATTGTTTCATTTTTGACCCCTCTAGAATAAAATGTATGCGCCCATGGAACCGTTATTGTGTTTTCTTTCGTTACAGATATATGAAAAGGAGCCAACACCAAAATTCCAATGAAAACAATCGTACTTAACATTTCTAAACATCAATATTTACACATGTACGCAACTTGACCCAACAAATTTGACGAACACAAATCATGAAGTCGAATCGATTTGTTTGTTGGTACCTCCTCCTAAACTTGTTTGTTATCAAATGGTTTCGTAGCCTGAGGATAACCGCTTTTGAATATAATGTGACCATATGGTCACATGGTCCATAAAATAGCCCATGGATTTATCAGAAGCGGACCGATAAAGGGTTGAAGACCTCAATACCTACTTATACTCCAAATAATATACTATTAGGATACTCTTGTTGTTTGCAGGCACCAGCATCGGTTTCAAGAACATTGCTAGCAAGATAGCGAACGAACTGAAGCTGTGACTGCTCGTCAAAGAGCCGGAGACGGCCGGCGAACCGACGTAGGAGAGGGCGCGTGCGCGCCTTTCCCCATTTTCCCCATCGCCCTGTAGACGAGGAAGGGCCGAAGAAGCGGGGACGCGCCGATTCCGCAAATTTAGTCGTAAGGTTCACCCCCCCACACGGACTCTTCGCTTGTGATATTCATTGCGAGTGAGTGTGTGCATGTCGAGCGGCCCATCTGAATGGTGGATTAGTTTATTTTTCTCGAGCTAACGGGCTGGTAACGATGACCGATGGAAAAAAACACGAGGCGGGTGACCAGACCTTGGAATGTCATCGTATGTCATCGTATCATGATGTATCTAAAACCACAAACACTAAATTATTTCTGAAGCATTAAAAAGTGGAGGGATATTAAAGGATCTGATATCGCCACCTCTAAAGCCGTAAAATTCATACTTGGTTATGACTATCTCTGAAGCCATAATAGTGGCGAGTTATTATGATATCTAAAATCATCAAATTTAAATTATGAAGTCATAACTGGTTTCAACCACCTCTAGAACCACCAACTCTAAATTATTATGAACTTCTAACTGACTGAAGCCACCTTTAAAGTTTAAAGTATTGAAAAGTGGCGAGTTATTATGGGGTCTTGAATCACTACCTCTAATCAGTGGAGTCATAATTGGTTGTTACAACCACCCCTGAAGTCATGATAGTGGCAAGTTATTATGATATCTGAAACCACCAAATGTAAATTATGAAGTGATTACTGTTTTCAACCACCTCTAAAACCACCAAATCTGAATTATTATGAACTTCTAACTGACTGAAGCCACCTTTAAAGTTTAAAGTATTGAAAAGTGGCGAGTTATTATGGGGTCTTGAATCACTACCTCTAATCAGTGGAGTCATAATTGGTTGTTACCACCCCTGAAGTCATGATAGTGGCAAGTTATTATGATATCTGAAACCACCAAATGTAAATTATGAAGTGATTACTGTTGTCAATCACCTCTAAAACCACCAAATCTAAATTATTATGAACTTCTAACTGACTGAAGCCACCTTTAAACTTTAAAGTATTGAAAAGTGACGAGTTATTATGGGGTCTTAAATCACTACCTCTAATCAGTGGAGTCATAATTGGTTGTTACCACTCCTGAAGTCATGATAGTGGCAAGTTATTATGATATCTGAAACCACCAAATGTAAATTATGAAGTGATTACTGTTGTCAATCACCTCTAAAACCACCAAATCTGAATTATTATGAACTTCTAACTGACTGAAGCCACCTTTAAACTTTAAAGTATTGAAAAGTGGCGAGTTATTATGGGGTCTTAAATCACTACATCTAATCAGTGGAGTCATAATTGGTTGTTACCACCCCTGAAGTCATGATAGTGGTAAGTTATTATGATATCTAAAACCACCAAATGTAAATTATGAAGTGATTACTGTTTTCAATCACCTCTAAAACCACCAAATCTGAATTATTATGAACTTCTAACTGACTGAAGCCATCTTCAAAGCATTGAAGAGTGGCTATTTATTATGGGGTCTAAAATCACCACCTCTAATCAGTGGAGTCTAATGTCACTAACTCTAAATCATGAAGTCATAATTGGTTGTTAACACCCCTGAAGTCATAGTGGCGAGTTATTATGATATCTAAAATCATAAAATTTAAATTATGAAGTCATAACTGGTTTCAACCACCTCTAGAACCACCAACTCTAAATTATTATGAAATTCTAACTGATTGAAGCCACCTTTAAAGTTTAAAGTATTGAAAAGTGGCGAGTTATTATGGGGTCTTGAATCACTACCTCTAATCAGTGGAGTCATAATTGGTTGTTACCACCCCTGAAGTCATGATAGTGGTAAGTTATTATGATATCTAAAACCACCAAATGTAAATTATGAAGTGATTACTGTTTTCAACCACCTCTAAAACCACCAAATCTGAATTATTATGAACTGCTAACTGACTGAAGCCATCTTTAAAGCATTGAAAAGTGGCTAGTTATTATGGGGTCTAGAATCACCACCTCTAATCAGTGGAGTCATAATTGGTTGTTACCACCCCTGAAGTCATGATTGTGGTAAGTTATTATCATATCTAAAACCACCAAATGTAAATTATGAAGTGATCACTGTTTTCAACCACCTCTAAAACCACCAAATCTGAATTATTATGAACTTCTAACTGACTGAAGCCATCTTTAAAGCATTGAAAAGTGGCTAGTTATTATGGGGTCTAGAATCACCACCTCTAATCAGTGGAGTCTAATGTCACTAACTCTAAATCATGAAGTCATAATTGGTTGTTAACACCCCTGAAGTCATAGTGGCGAGTTATTATGATATCTAAAATCATTGAATTTAAATTATGAAGTCATAACTGGTTTCAACCACCTCTAGAACCACCAACTCTGAATTATTATGAACTTCTAACTGACTGAAGCCTCCTTTAAAGTTTAAAGTATTGAAAAGTGGCGATTTATTTTGGGGTCTTAAATCACTACCTCTAATAAGTGGAGTCATAATTGGTTGTTACCACCCCTGGAGTCATGATAGTGGTAAGTTATTATGATATCTAAAACCACCAAATGTAAATTATGAAGTGATTACTGTTTTCAACCACCTCTAAAACCACCAAATCTGAATTATTATGAACTTCTAACTGACTGAAGCCATCTTTAAAGCATTGAAAAGTGGCTATTTATTATGGGGTCTAAAATCACCACCTCTAATCAGTAGAGTCTAAATTCACTAACTCTAAATCATGAAGTCATAATTGGTTGTTACCACCCCTGAAGTAATAAGTGGCAAGATATTATGATATCTGAATTCATAAACTTCAAATTATGCTGTCATAACTAGTTGTAACCATCTCTAAAGCCATGAAAGTGGCGAGTTAGTAAGTATGTATTGTAAAACCATCAACTCTAAGTTATAATGTTATGAAGTCATTACTGGTTGCGGCCACCTCTAAAACAGCAAAAAGTGAAGTGAAGAATTATGATGACGTCTTTAACTACCCATAATGCCATGAAAGTCAAAGTTGTTCGTAACCACTTCTAAAACCGTATAAATAATAATTGGTTGTAACCACCTCTAAAGCCATAAAAGTTATAGTAATTGATTATAATCACCTCTACAGCCGTAATAGTGGCAAGTTAAATTAATATTTAGAACCACCAACTCTAAATTATGAAGTCAGGAATGGTTGTAACCACCTCTGGATATTGATGCAGCTTCACTTGGTAGTTTTGAACTGTATTATTGGGATTGCTCAATGATAAAACCAAGAATGTTAATTACAGAATGGATAAAATGTGGCGAGATGAAAAAAATTATGGGGTGTAAGCTATGCCTGGTGATTTTGAACGAAATTTGGGATTCTATAACTACTTAGGATACATAGAATTCTTTTTTACCAAATTTGAAACACACTTAATCATAAAGTCATACTCATTGTCAGTCATAACTAGTGATTATTAGCCATCACTAGTAATCATGGGAGCTAAAACAACCACCTCTGAATAATGAAGCTAATGATAATTTTTGGGGTCTTGAACCACCTCTGATTCAAAAAGTCATAACTGATAATCATGTGGTCTAAAACTACCACCTCTGAATAATGAGACAGTAGCTGGTAATCACGTTATCTTGAACCACCACCTCTAAATAATGATACAATTTGGGCCTATAACCACTACCTACCTCTGAATTATATACCACAAATGTTTAAATCACTATGGATATGGCTCAATTATTAAGAGTTACTTCGTCGTTATATATAACTCAGATGTTGACCCTCCTATAGGTCGAAACTTAGCTACTCACTTGGCTTTTTGACGAGAGGTTTTGATCATTTCACCGCCCAACCACATCCATCCCCAAATGAAGGGTGGAGACAGTTTTCATTTAAAATTTGACATTTATTGATTGAATGGGAAAATCGTGGACAAAGGCTTGCACCATGGCAGGTTAGCAAAGAAGAAGAACATAATGGCTTGCCAAATGAAACACAACGCAAAACAACACTTGAAAGAAACAGTACTTACATTACAACGTCTAGCATGGGGTTGACCTGCAGGATTGAAGTCAGGGAGACGTCGAACATTTTTGATTGATAATAACTAATGACTTGTACTATTTATATTCGGAATCGATGCTAGGTTTGCAATTTTCCGCAATGGAAATGGCCAATACCTTTCAATATTGCTTACGTACGTATTATCGCACGGTAAGCGTTTTTTGCAAATTCTACAGGAACTGACGTCTATGAACTCCGCTGACCTGATCGACAACTACACTGTACTGGATGTTTTAATTTGGAAAAGTTAATTTATAATTAAAGATCTTGAAATGAACGCGAGTTTGAGTGAAAATTGTCAGTAATGGCTTCATTATTAAGTGGTAGTGGTTATGGACCTCATAACTTGTTGTAAATCATCACAGCTATAGGAAAATGAGTATTACAGTTTGATAAATGGGAAATGTTTGGGAAATTTTTTTTGTTGAAATTTTGATGTGGGCAACGTCGTTTGTAATTTTGTCCGTTAGCTCGAAGAATGTCATCAAAAGTGGGCCTCTTGAAATGGACATCGTTTTTGCTGAATTTTTTTCCTTCCATCGCAGCACCGGAAATATTTTTTATATACACATGGAATATATTGACATTAAGTGGAAAAGAGATTGATTTATTTTATACGGATTCATAAATATTTATTGTATTTAGCGATTTTTGCCTTCCTTTATTTTTTTCTCACAAGTATCGGAAATCACTTTTGATTTCTTTCCCATGCAAGAATTTCAAACGCAATATTGTGTACAGTGTGTCAATTGTTGCTACAACCGGAACTGTCGAATTACTGTTTCAAAGTCCTGTGACATTGTTAGGCCAAAATGAACCAACACTGTATTGGGCTGAAAATGGCACTATATACGAGGCGTTTTCCTCAAAAATGGTCCAAATACAGTTTGGAAAATTAGTCTTACCTTATT